TGTTGTCGGATATTAGTTTGCTGGGATGCTTAATACGTCAGCTACTGAGGACGGGTTTGAGGGAAACCTATGGCAATGGCAGCAACAGGGTAAACAGGCAATAGACACCCTTCTCCAGTGTGTGAATCACTCAAATGCGTTCACCAGTAGAAAGAGAGCCTTCGTGGAGGTGAGACCCCGTGTAGAGACAGTGGAGTGGGGAGTCTGGTGGGTGAGAGTCTGAGATGAGGGCAGAGGAGGCAAGCACGGTGTGAGGGGTCCTGTTGTGATAGTGGCCAGAGGCATGGGTTGAGAACACAGTGTCCATGTGCCCCTTGGAGGATGTTCAGGGCACCCAGAAGACACATCTGAATAGTTCTAGACACCGGTGGAAGTTCTTGGGGTCTTACATACAGTATCAGCCTGGAGGAATGCCCACCCACCTGTCTGGTGAGCTGTCAGGCAGTATGTTTTACGGTCCATTCCTCCTGCCATTGCTGCAGTTTTTATTTCTGGCAGACCTGTCTGTCTGTGCTGTCTACTGTAGGACTCTTAAGTGCTGGTTGTGTATTTCCTCGTGAGAGTCTTGCCGAGAGCCTCAGAGCTTGGTACAGAGACGTCAAGCCGTCAGCCAGGACTGGGAGAAGCAAGGGTTGGATAGAGCGTTGTAGCTCCAGCTGGCCGTTCAAGAACCCTCACCCATCCTCAAGGTGAAACAGGTGCCTCTCTGCTGGAGATTGTACTTAAAACGACAGCAGGACGCGGCTCCTGCTTTTCTCTCTCCCGTGTGTGTGTGTGTGTGTGTGTTCACACACACATATATGTGGTTGCTTATGCATGTGTGCATGTGTGTGTATACACATACGTATGTGGCTGCATGTACATGTACATGTATAGACATAGATGTGGTTACAAGTATATAAGTGCGTGTGTGTGTGTGTGTGTGTGTGTCTAGGTCTAGGCCAGAGCTCAACCTCTTCAGTCCACTCACCTTGTTGACTGAGACAGAGTCTCTCACTGGAACCTGGGGCTTGCTAATTAGCCTAAGTTGGCTGGCCAGCAAGCTCCAGGGATCTTCTTATCTCTGTCTCTCCTGCAGTGGGATTACAAATACATAACATCAAACCTGGTGCTGGGGAATTATACTCAGGTCCTCAGGCCTGAGCCTTATCCCTAGCCCTTCTTCCTCTCTTCAGAAATATCCTTGACACTGTCAAACGTGAATATTTTTGCATGAATAACACCTGGTGGGACTGCCTGCCACACAGTAGGGCCCACGGTTTAATACACGTTGTTCTCGCCCTGTGAGATAAGCTGGATAATAAATACAAAGAGGGGTGATTTCTTGCCAAATAGGTTAGGTGCTTTAATTCGGGGCCTGCAGCTTGAATCTGAAATGTCCTCGCAGGCCCATGCTTTGAATGCAGTTTGGGGAGCGGGACCTTCAGCACATGAGCCCCGATGGCAAAAGTGGGTCCCTTTGAAGGCTGTAGCTTAGCCTGGTTTCTAGTCTCTGTTTTTGGTCTGTCATGATGTGGCCATCTTCTGCCACCCTGCTGCATCTTCCTTGCTGTGATGGACAGAACCTCTCTTAAGCTGTTTGTATCCGGTAATTGGCTTCCAGTGTCATGAACGTCACTCATGCAGGAGGCATGTACTTAAAGTGTGCTTTGTTCACGGTGCTGTGCCTGGTACCTCTGACGGGCAGGGAAGCTATGAGACGACATAGGCCATTCAGGGTAGGAATGATGAAACAATCAGACCTTGTACATAGAGGTGGGACTGTGACATGTATGGGGGACAGAGGTGAAGAGGTGGTGGGCATGGCCGTGATCCTTACCAGATGGAGCTAGTGGCAGTAAGAGCACATTGCATTTCACATTAAACCTGACAATAACACAGAGGGAGCATCTCTCTCCTCTATCCAGGATACTTCTTTACATGTGTCTCCAAGGACAATGGCATCACTGGGAGTTATGACTGGTTCCCAAGTCCTTGTGTGTTGTTCAGGGGAATGTCTGGAGAGTATTTCATCTCTAGTCACAGGCAGTGGAAAGCTGCCATTAAATGCCTCTGGTGACTGTCAGAGAACCTTGAGTACTGAGTCCCACTGTTGTCCTCTTCAGGACACTGTAGAGCAGTGTTGTCTTCTGAAGAGGCGGCCATTTTTGAGTGTGGACTTCTTGTTCTTGTCTCAAGGGACTGTCCCACTGGAGTCTGTCCTCCACAGAAGAGGACAGCAGGTGTGTGGCACTGTTTATCATGCATGCGGTACTGGCTGACTAGCTGCCATGTGCAGGACATGGTACCCAGCGCTTAGACACAGATACCTCTGCCATTATTTCTTCAGAGAGTTTGTACTGTCTCTGTTGGGAGGGGTGGAGAAGGGGAACCCGAAAGTCCTACTTTGGAGACCATTGGGGATGGAGATTGGGAACAGAATCTATAACAGAAAAGGCTGGTGAGGAGAGAGACACCTGATCCCCCTGTGTGTAGTCCGAGGCTTCGTGGGGCAGGCAGGATCTATGGTTAAGAATTTTCAGACTGGAAAGGAGCTTCAGGAATTCTGGTCCAACATTCCAATTTTATCATGAAGGGAAATGGAAGGACAAGGATTTTGAATCCATTTATTCAGCTCAGAAAAGAGAGCCATAATTCATTTGATTCCTGGAACAATTCATTTACTCTTTAAAGCCATTAATTGCATGTCTACACATCAGGAAACTGAGCTGCAGAGGGGTGAGAAGACTCGCTCAAGGGCAATTTATGAGTGATGCTGGTGAGCTAGGTTCTTCCAGATGCCAAAATCCTCCTTCCTAATCTCCCCCTCCGTCTTCCCCTCCTCCTCTCTTCCCCCTCTTCTTTTCCCCTTTTCTCTTTGTTTTTTTTTCCCTTTCTGTCTATTCTTCTCTCTATTCCTATGCCTTCCTCTGCCTGAAAACTTGCCAAGAATTGACATGGATGAATAGGAAGTAATGGCGGCTGTGCTCTCTGCTCCACCCATCCCTCTGGTCTCTGAGTTGTTTAAAACTCCTTGAACTTGTAGTAATGATTCTGGAAAGTCAGACCGTGTCTGGGGGATGCACCATCCAGTCTTGTACCTCTTGAACCTTTGCCTCCTCCTGCTAGAAACTGTGGATTGTGTTTGTGTGCTGTCGCTCTCTGGTGACCTTGTGCTTGCTGAGCGCATCGGTCACCTGGTGGGCTTATGTGTCCACATTTGTTTTTGAGTTTTCCT